AACTATCAACTCAACACTTAGTGAAGCCAGATTATTTGACCTTCAGGTTTCTGGAATTTTGATCCATTGATGGAGGAATAGCTGGAGCTGAATCCAGTTTGCATGCTTCCTTTTACCCACCATTTAATGTCTGGCAATACATTGTGAATCAAAAACATTGACTTTGTTGCCTTCAAGCCTTTTGACAAGACTTCGTTGTACTGAAATTCCATGTCTGCCTTCAACTGAGATCTTTTGGTATATTAATATCATGTATTCCCTTGTGATATGATCTACAGTATACTGCAGCAAAATACCTCCACAGTATGATGCTGCCACTCCCATGCTTCATAGTTGTGAGTGTTGTCAGGCTTGCAAGAGTCCACCTATTTCCTGAAGTCTTTATGGCCAAACTCTTCAGGTTCAGCTGCCCTTTCTTCTCACAACTTTCCTTGAGAACATTTCGCCTCTTTCCACATGCAATGATACTGAATGATTGGTCTGATATTCATGGGCGTGTTTGTTTATGCGTTGGGAAGCAGAGCTGTCTCGCTCTGACTACTCGACTTCCAGAAGCCAGTTGACATATTTAGAAGAGCAATTGTCCGAGGTTGTAAGAAAGAACGTACTGTTCGACCAAAACTCTGCTCTGGTCCGATCCACAGGGCAATCGTCCCACCACAACATCTGTTATGGTTTTATCTTTATTTTATTTCCAATAACACGAAAAATAAAATGAGACGTTCCAGCTCGTCAATCACCATTTCTTCCGCCTCTGAGCTTGTGAACTCATGATAGTCATTCTCTCTGCCATCCTCTAGACTCCAGAGATTCTTGTGCAAAGATGCACTTTTCATACCATGAAGAACACAGCCGTCACCATCTTCATCCATCATGACTCTGAAAAGTCATGGGTAGTTGGTGTTATTGCATTTTGTTTTGGGATTAAAAAAGCATTATGAAGCTGAAATTCAGTTGTTTTGAATATAGCGGATACTCTTGTACTCTTGTTGTAAAGCCCTGATGATTCCTGAAGATGTTGGAACTCCTGTTCTCAAAGCATCTTCAGAATTGCTGATGCAGTCAATCTCGCAATGAATTTACAAAAGCCTCTGACTGAAGATTTGCAAGTCATGAAGTTCATTCAGATCATTTTCAAACCCAAGTAAAGTCAGACTCCTTTCAGGGGAAAGTGGTAGTGTGGTATCCCGATAATGACTGATCATGTTAGGGAAGCGAAGCTGTGAGGTCAGTGTGTAACCTGATGGTGACGGTGGTGGTCTTGCAGACTTTGTACATGTTGACAGATCAATGTGAACTGCCTTGCCCATGACTCTCCTCCTGAGGAGCAGACTGAGGATGCCTGAGGGGGCGAGGCACAGCTGGCCTGAACTCATATCCATCTTCTCTACTCAACGCAAGCCCAACTGAAGGCACTCCGTCTGTAAATGCTGGCTTCCACTACAGCAAAACATGACCAGAGGACATTTTGGAGCACACAAAGACATTTTATCTCCACTTCTACATAATGCAAATGCACGCAGTTTGACTCATCAGTTTAATTCAAATTCAATAAAAAACATTTATTTTTATCCCAATGGGAAAATAAATGTTGGAAATCATATTTTCGAAGCATCTTCAAGGATTTGCTAATGGAGCTCAGCAGCAGTCAGCCTTGCAATGAATCTACAAAAGCCTCTGACCGAAGATTTGCTGTATGACATTCTCACACCGGTCATGACACGCTGGCAGCTCAATGTCCAGGCAGCAGAGACAATGTTCCACTCTAAAACGTCTCGATGATTCCATCACTTGTTGGCACCGCTAATTCACCTCCTTTGCTTTTGTCGCTCCCCTTTAAATCTGTCTGGCCGTATAATGAAACATCCAGACAGAGAGTCGTTGGAGTCAGAGATTGGATTCTTGTTCGTTATGGTTTTTACTTCCTTCTTCTCTCTCTGCTCTGCATCTATTACGCCTTTTGCTGTTCAGTTATTATTTAAGCTTTTGTGATGCTAATCAGCTGCTCCAAATTGTAAAAACATATATACTTAGTTACCATGGGTATGTGTTGTGGCAACTGTCTGAAAGTGAGAGTCCAAACATGCAATGACTCAAGAAAAAAATATAAATAAATAAAAAGGATGAGAAGAACTAGTCAGAGTTAACAGAGCTACTCCAACCTATTTATTACTCTCACGATTAATCGAGTAATCAGATTTTTTTTAATTATAAAGTAAAATATTGGTAAATCTGGCATAACACCAGTGTTACTATCCGATATCAATATCAACCAAGTTTTTCATTTTTGAGCATCCTTAAAAGTTACTTTTCTGTAGTTTAGAAAACTAACCTGTAACAATAATAGGCTCATTTTATAAGTTAACCTGAAGAAAAATTATACAAGAATCTGAAGTTATATTCAATTTAATAATAAAGAGGCAGGCTCACAAATACGCTCATAAAAAATGTCTCTGCCCCAGCTTTTAGTTTATGTATTCATCTTCAGTCAGTTTAATAGATGAATTCTCACCTTGCCCCATGCCGGTGAAGCTTTGGGTTTGAGAAAATGGGAAATGTCTGGAGTGGGGTTTGGGGAAGGTGAACAAACGAAATAGACCAGGGTGACAGACAAACCCATTTAATCCCACATTTTTTCCTGCAAAATTAGTGCATGCATTTCCATCCTTGGACCTCCCTAACACATGACATTTATGAATTATTACATTTTATGTTGGTTATGTTAGTGAAAATGTAGGTTTTATTCATGCGTAGTCTAAATCACACAAATGTGGCATGTTTATACATATGAAAAAGAAGAAAAATCATGACATGCACAACATATTATCACAAGAGTCTTCAAAAATATTTTAGATACATAGAGGTCCAATGCCTCATCCTGCAGACGTCATTGGTAGGTATATAAAATAAACAGCAAAGCTATGGATACATAGCATAGTGCTGTCTATGCAATACGGGACATTTACGGCACTTTTGTTCATCACACTCAGAAACTTATCTACCAGCCACGTACTGCCACGATGACTTTGAGACTGATTGTTGAGACCGGGATGATCTCAAATTTATTGAGTGGTTCGTCCGTAAAGCTGCACTTACACTGTGACCATCAACTACTCAGCTAAGTAATAAAACATAAATTAACGAAGCTTTGAGGCAAATAAATTTTCCTCAAGAAATTTTAATAATCGAGGTACTCGAATCATCCAAAGAATCATTTCAGCCCTACTTTTCTGCTCTTCCTTCTTTGCTCTTCATGTCAGTCAGTCCTCAAAGTTTTTCTTGGACAGACGTGTTTCTTTAGGAGGTCGGGTTACAGTAGTTGGGTAATTTTGTAAAAGTCTTTACAGCCAGCTGCTGCCAGTGATGAGCAAGTTCTGCACTGGTGGCACTATGAGTAGCAAACTCCCTTCATATCAAACATGCCTGGACATTATGGCACACTTTAGGTCTTACTTACTGCAACTGAAACTCTTGCTTTCATGTTCTCAAAAAACCATAAAAACAGTTCAAAAGGTTTCAATATTCTTTGATATTAAGAATATTGATATTCCAAGTCATGTGAGAAAAGAGCTGCACCTCTGTTGATGTGGACACAAGCCCACACTGAAATACAATTAGTTTGCTGTTGTATCCTAATAAAGCTCTTGGTGCTGAAATCTCACGGATCTGAACCGCTCCGCACGGTGATCTACCATCAACCCGAACCGTCACCGCAAAATCTGCCAATTCTGCAAAACACGATTTTTGTGCGGGTGCCAAATCATCTGACAAGGACTGATGTACTCAGAGTCTGCAGCTTGATGGCGCTGTTTGTATGACTGCGGTCATGTCTGCAGGGGAGTGGAGGGGGGGTGAAGAGGGAGAAACGGACAGCGTGGGCCTCTCTGCTCAAACATCTCAAAGTTTGCCGACGCGTCGTCTGCCTGGCAGCCCTGAGACGGCTCCGGCTCCAAGGTTTCACACACCTACATGCCACATTCTCACACTACCTGACACTCATTTTGCAAACACACACAATTCTCTCTCCCTCTTTCTCTCTCTCTCTTTCTCTCTCTCTCTTTCACTCTCATACACTCAGTATTATTGAATGTATAAGAGCAAACATCTCCCATGAAGTATCCATATTCTGTGCTGATGTCACATGACCAACATGTACAGTCGCCATGGTGACTAGTCTAAGAACAAGTCGTGACATGTGGTTGGGTGGAAGTGTCCCAGTAGTCCAGCTTCCAATGCATGTGGAGGAGAGGAGGAAGCAGAGGTGGCCATGAATGAATGAGGGTACTGTAAGAGCTCTGACCGTCGGCCATGATGACATGCCGTTTGTTTGTCACCTCATCAAAAATAAACTTGATATTTCGTAAAGATGTCAGGAGTATTTCATTTGTTTTTCCAAGATTTGAATTCTAACCACAATCCAGTTACTTTAATAATCGTAGGGATTTCTATATCGTTTTTTTTTTATTTTTTTTATGCTCCTCCAATCTGGATGCTTAGAAAAACACATTACTGCCCATTTCCATCAACAGTTTTTTATGAGTAAAAATTCAAAAATAATTTCCTCAATTACCGATGCGTCATTTTTATGCTTGCTTGAGGTGCTTGCAAAGAAGCTTTGTGGAGACTATGGTGCTTCTTCGACTTTATGATGGCCAACACATTTTGCCTAGGAGGATTGTGTATTGTGTTGAACTGCAGAACAATTTAATACAAGGTCAAATATTGTTTTTTTTTTACATACAACACAGAAGAATTCTGCTTCTGCTCAAAAACAGAAAAAGAAATAAAGTTATGGATTCCAATGGCTGAAGACAGCTTTCAAAATCGCTTCAGACTAAAAACACTCATTGATATTTGGAATGTGTTTGACCAAGATCAGCCACTGAGAGGCTAACCGTGAATTCTTTCGGATGTTCTTGTAGAACAGGGGCATGGCAGTACCCAGTTCTACAGAACTCACATACTGCTCACATAGACAGTTGATTTCACTTATTACTAACCTTTGCAGGTTTTGCCATCTGGTTGCAGGGTGAATCCCACAGGGCAGCTGCAGCGGACCCCTGTAGCTGTGTCCTTACATGTCCGGTCGCAGCCACCGTTGTTTACAGCGCAGCTCTCTGTAAAGGATTGAAGAGAAAGATGGAAGAACACAAATGACCTGTTCACACACACAGTTGATTTCCATTTCCTACCAAAGCATCGTGTTGCTATTGAAACTGGACATGATATGGGTGGTGACTAGGGCTGCACGATATTAGATATTGTGATGACAATAATAATGGTAAATATTGACAATACCAGGTGTAGCATGTGCCTCTCTTTCTAATATATTTGTTGTCATTTGTGGCTGTTATTTGTCCAGTGTGAGCATTTGCTGAGTCTCTTGGCTAAATGTTATTTTAGCATAAAAACATACAGATAGCTTAAAATATATTAGACAACAATTATTGCAATCTAGTCAGCCCTTTGCAGTATGAATATTGCACACACTGGCACTGCGACAACAATATATTTGCGACATATTGTGCAGTCCTAGTGGTGGCAAAGCTTCATGCGGGTAGAAGAATACAAAAACAACACGGAGGGATGCCCGCACATCCCAATGTGGTTCCTCATGTAGCTTTGTCCACACAGAGGCGAGGAAATGTCAGAGACATTTCAGTTGCCTTATAAAGACAAATACCATCTGCTTATAAACCCTGACTGGAAAAGAAGTTCTTTTTAACAGAGAATTATTCAACAACACATAATTTTGTGCTGATGAGGCAGGGTGAAGAAAGGTTGGTCCAGCTTCCAAAAGTGAAAAGAAACCAATTAACTCACACTAAACATGACAGTTCAGGTGAGATAGTGAAAAAAATAAAGCTGCTATTGAGTCCGGGTTCTGCAGGACCTCTCGTGAAAAAATGTCCTTGTACATGGTGGAGATAATGTTTGCTGGGACTTGTGAATATTGCCTAAGCTGATCCTAAAGCAAACACAAGCTCATGGTAACTCTAGCTTAGCTGCTAAGCTACTGTTGCTTTAGCAAAGCTCAGTCAGCCCCGACCCAACGGGCCTTCAGAATCGCTGAGGAGGCTGAAATTTGACATTGACTCATGTTTGTTGAAAGGGATTAATTAAAGCTATGGCTCTATAAAGAGGTTTTCCTTAGTAACTGCTCTGCTTTTGGTGGGCTTCACTTCATTTATTCAAGAGAAAATCCTGGTTTGAACAGAAGTTTGGAATTTTCTCATCAACTGTCAGATTCAAAACACACAATCCCAAAATCTAGTTTCCAAATCCAATCCCCCCTAGGAAGATCTTTTGGAATTTAGAGGGCTGTTGTAGAATAACAGCAGCGTGTTATTTGGCAATGTTTCCCAAATTTTTGGCACTGTTCAATTAAAATGTCAAGAAGGCATATGCTTAAATTCATTAAAACCGGGAAGGAGAAAAACGCACTCGGGTTGTAAACATATCCATTGATAGGAGTTAATGCAGAAGCGTAGAACTGAATATGCGCCATAAGTCAGCCACGATAGATGTTAAAGATGTTTTTGCTCATGCAACCCCAAGATGTCCTCTCACATCAGTCCCCCTTGAGTACCAATTTATAGTTTGTGGGGTTTTTTTATGTCACAGCTCTGATCGGTAAACTAGCTTAAATGTCAAACTTATCCCAAATAAAGGCAATGGGATTCCTAGATGATGGGCTGGAGAAAGATATTGCAAAAGGAGGAAGGAAAGACACTCCATCATCTAGGCAGCCTGTCTGCTAGGTGCTTTAGGGTATTAGCACCACCCTGTCCCCTTCCCCTTCCCCTTTCCAACTCAGGTTTCTGACAACTGTTTGCATGTGTGTGTGTGTGTGTGGGGTGTGTGGTGTGTGGTGTGTGTGGTGGGTGTGTGTGTGTGTGTGTGTGTGTGTGTGTGCGTGTGTGTGTGCATGAGGGAGTCAGTCTGCACTATGTTGTGGGTCGACATGCCCGAATAACCATACATAATCAATAAGACTTTCTATGTGAGAGTAAAGGTGAACATGTGGATTTCTTGTGTGTGTAGGTGGTGTTTATGGGTCAAAGTGATTTATACTGAGTACAGTGGGCCCTATCATTAGCTGAGGTAAGCTGAGTCCTGCAGAGCCCCCTCTCTGCGGACCACGCCCAGCCAAGCCCCAGGGCCAAGCTGAGCGTAGGAACAGAGACGAACCGCCTGGCCTGATTGATGTGCTGGACAAGCCTCTCACACCACCCTCAGCCTCCTTTTCCAAGACTCTCTAACAGCATATGTCTTACAGTCTGAGACTGGGTTTGAAATGGACCTTAGAGTTTGGAGAGGTGCAGGAGGGGATATATGTGTGTGGACAGATTAACAAAATCAAATAAAATCAACTTTTATTATCGGAAACATACCAAACTCTTAAACGTGTGTCTATTGAGCAGTGTCTCAGACTGGACAGGAAGACGTCCTATCTCTGTCTCGTGAAAGGCCTGTCTGGACTGAAGGCTCTTTCTTTTATGCTCCCATGATGCATTCAAACAGGCTCAGATTTTTTTATTATTGTCAAGTCATCATGCATTAAGTGTTTTTATTAAGTTGGCATTGTTGTTGGGCATTGAAGCCACAAAGGAGAAGTTCTGAATTGGATTTCAAATTCACAGAAAAGAGAATTTGACTTTTCCTGTGAACAACATCAGACATTGTGGTGGTGGAGGAAGACAGAGGTGGTGGGAGAGGCGCTACCATTTCAGTCAATGCCAGTTCTTCACTGACTGGACCTGAGCTATACTGAGCCACTCTGAACCACACTGTTCCCATGACAACAGGTGACACTATTAGGACTTTAACACATTCATTTTGATTAATTAATTACATAGATTATAACACGTAAAAGACTTTTATGCAATTAATTGTTTCTCTTTCCTTCTTCTTTCAAAATGTATTTTTTAAATTATAAAACACCAGAGCTGTAACTTTTGTTTGTGTGTTTTTGGTCTGTCTGTAAATGTGATGCACTAGTGACAAACAATGATGATAGATGATGAAGCTGCTGTTCTTGGCTCACTGAGGGTTTATTGGTTGCTTCAAAAAAAAAATATATATATATATAATAAAAAATAAAAAGATACAAAAAAAAACTATTAGAAACTGTTGTGAAGCTATTCAAGCTTGAAATAGCATCTCGATGCTAAAGATGTAGCAGCATCATGACCAAATTTTGTAATGTGGACATGGACATCGTACAGTGTCCACATTCTAAAAAAACTTTCTTTGGCAGATCCTTTAGTTATCAGTAGCTCCCAATTTTAGTCTGAGGCAGACAACCTGTCTACATTTAAGACTAGGGTTGAAAATGTTCTTTTGATAAAGCTTATAGTTGAACTATCTATGTAGTTATTCTGCATATTATCCCTGTAATACGGTGTGTTGCAATATTATAACATCTCTATTTTAAGCCAAAAAAGAAACACAAACGTTGACTTTTTTTCAACTCAAAGAGTCAACTATTATTCAGTCTAGGAATGATGTTGGATATCATTCAATATCATTCCAAGGATCTGTAGGACATTTGGATACATATCTCCACACAGGATCACAAAATACTTTTACACTGGATTAATCAAAAGAGAATTAAGTAAATGTCTTTTAAAATTCGTTTTCACCGACTAAAGTTTGTGACAAATGTCATTTTGTATGACACTTGAACAGAATGGTAAAGAATTTTATTCATTAAATTTTCAGAGTACCTTCCAAAAAGAAAATAATCTGAAAACATCATGTTGTAGTCCTACACAGTCATCCACACGGTTGGATGTTTTCCCTCATGTTTTTCTATGTGTGGTCTGGCAGGGTCAGGCAGGCTGCTGTAGGACTAACTGACCACTTCTCTTGACCTGCAACATTCTTTACCTGCTCTTCAATTTATCATAATTTACTGGGTTTCTTTCCCAACATTTAAGTTATGTTCTCTGCTGTTTTTCCTCTCCACAGAAGCTCTGTCTAGTCTGGTGCTCTGTAAGCTGTGACATCTTGCTTATATCTAAAATCGGGGATGTTCATATGTTGGATTGTCTTGGCCCGATGTTGCAAAGTGTGTGTGATGTTCCCCAAAGACAAAGTGAGAATGCAGACTGTTGAATGTGATATGACAAAACAATGTCATGGTGCAGCAGAAAGTCTGGTAGATGTGTAGACACCTTCGCATTGTTTTTCTTTTGTCTTTCAACATAATTCACAAATATCGGCATGTTTGTTTACTCTGAACTCCCGTTTAGTCTTGAGAGGTTTCTCAAGATTTGTGGTCTGGCATCTGAATGTTGGTGAGTGAATTTGGCTTGACATTACACACTGAACGACCAAATCTGTTAAAACTAGGATTGATATTGTCAGGCGTGTGGTTTCCCACGTTTCAAAAATCGACTGACAATTTCAAAATCCTGTCCTGTGAACGTGGCATTACTCCAACTTTGCCAATTTTATTCAAATTAAAACAGACAATAGATGAAGAAAAGAAACTGGGCTCACATTAGCCTAACAGCAACTATTCATTTTGCAAATCTCAAACATGGTGATGAACTTTTGAAGTGATCGTCGTTTTGCATGATCCATACCCATTTGGTGCCAATGTGGAAATGTTTTGAAGATGGTGGACTCTGATTCGCTGGTGGAAATAAAATCAGCTAATGCAGTTGATGCTAAAGGATTAGCATCAACTGGTGGGAAAAAGCTTCACTGAGATTGTTATAAACCCTACTTTGAAGTAAAGGTGGAACAATTCAACCGACACATGTCTTTAGTCTGTGTATCAATGCACAGACTCTAAAACTGGTTATTGCAATGCATCCAGTTCATAATAACGAACTGGATGAAAACTGTGAGAACACAGAAAGTCTCCCTTCTGGAAGCAGGAAGAGTTGTTCTTACTTCAGGATCATAAATCATAAACTGTGACACAAACGACTTCATCTCAGTGTATTCCATCCACATGTTGCCTGGTTCATATGTTTTGAAAGCTATGCTCACAAAACCAAACAACAAACAAAACACCAAATTGAATTATCCCAGTTTACAAAACAAAGTTTACCTTTGATCAGTTGTTATGCTATACAATGGAGAGTATATCATAAACAAAAACAGATCTTCTAAATAGTCTTTTAGTTTGCTGCAGATGAGAAGATCCAAAGCAAATGTCACCCTAGTGTCATTAGTGACTAAATTGTCATTAACATAAGGGTATAAATTTCAGTCATTTATGTTTTGTACTAAGTTGAGAATCGAGTTTTGGAACCTTGTAAAGGAAAATGGCAGAGAAATGATTCTTTGTCCATATGTAGGTGGGAATGTGTGGAAGTGAAAAAATCCATGGTATATAAAGGTTGTGCATGCATATCAGAATGTGTACTTGTGATTCAATTTTATTGCGTTGTAGGGCAACGCAATAAATTTCATGTTTCTGCATCCATAGATAAGAATTTATGTGTGCAAAAATTAATTTTACTTGTAAGAAATTATTACACAAGTTTGATTTTTGAAAGGTTTGGTTGAAGATAAAAAAGCAACAAAACTTTGTCTGAAGCTCCTGAACCTGCATGTGAGTTTCAACTTGCAAATTTGAGTTATGACAGGATATTTCTTCCCCTCAGATGACTTTTTTATTTTAAATCATGTTTGGTTACCAAACTCTAAATCCTCTTATTCCTCTCATTTCCCAGAGAAATGAGAAATCAGAAAAGTTACCATCCTTCCAAAAGCAGCCCACCAGCTGAAATTTCTGAAGGCCACATATTCTTGAAAGGAGCTTTTTGTTTTCCTTTCCAACTGCTAGGCTTTAAGGATTTTTTTTTTTTTATAACGTTCACTAAATAACCACCACATAAAACCAGAGTTAAGTTAGCGGGCTTGTGTTTTTCTAATGTGGGAAGTTGGAAATTACTGCAAAAGAAAACAGCAAAGAACATTTGCAGTAAGGTGTTGTGTTAGTGACTGGGAAACCATTAGTCTACCAAAACTTTGGTGACTAAGGTAAAAAGGGATTGCAAAAGGATAATGGTCTGTTTTAGTCTTTCTTCACAAACAGTTTTAATTACAGTTGTGTTCATTGGGGGACTCTTGGGTGGACACAGCGTGCACCAGAGGGTTTGAACAAAATAAAGATAGAAAAGAGGAGAACGAGAGGGAAACGGAGAGACGTGAACTCGAGAGGGTGTGGGGGGGATACAAGCACAAGCGGCATGGCAACACATAGAAAGAGGAAGAAAAGAGTTACCCATATGTAGCCGCCGTTTCACCCGCTTGTCCACATCAGCTACTGACGTGGCATTGAACTCAGAGCTCTCAATTGCAGCCTCATCTTTCTCTAAAACACAAGTGACAAGGGGACAAACAGTGAGCAGCAGGTTAATGAGAAGCCCAATTGACCAGACCTTCAGCCCTAACTTTGGCGTCTGAGCAAAAAAAAAGAAAAAAAACTAAAACCAAAGCCAAGAAGCAAGAAGCGATGAAGAGGCACCAAAATCCCTGTTAGAGTGTTAATCCCCAAACAGTCATCAATCCCCTGCAGCAAAAAAAAATCAAAAATAATGAAACGGATCAGGATCAGTAGCTTAATGAAGCAGTAGGAAGGCAAAACGGTGGAGAGGGGAAGAAGAAGGTTCCGGGCTTTAAACATTTCTATCAAGTTTTTTGGAAGGCATCAGTTGGGGGTGAACATTTGGATTTTGATTCTGATCGTGACCTTGCTGTTGGCGATGGTGTTTAAATGTTCCATAACAAACAGCCACACATTTTTTCAGGCAATCGTTTCCTCATTTTAACATGTAAGAAAAGGAAGGGAGGAAATAAAAAAAAAGAGGAAAAAGCGTCCGGCATTTCCAAGAGAAGCTGCTTTGAACGAGAGCGAGGAGATGGCCACGGAAAATTGCACGATGATGCGAGGAAGAGCACAAGGGCGATGCGTGAGAGGGCAATTAGTACAGAGAGGGCAGAGAAATGACAAGATGACAGAGGGACTGGAGAACACACAGGGGGGCAGGAGAAAAAAGTTTGAAGTCTCATCTTGACTTTACAATGGGGGAAACATGGAGGGGTATATGATGGGTGCACACTGAAAAATTTTGGATGGATGGCATGCATAGAGACTCAGAAACGTTTTTAAATAAAAGAAAGGCAGGTGGTCTGGGGCAGTGCTGGTTGCCTGTTTGTCTATCGATCAAATCACAACCGGACCTAGCAGTCAATGCTTGATAAACCACATTCCCAAAAGCTGGACTGCAGCAGTGGAGGAAAAATGGCAACAGTGCAAATCAGAGTAAGTGGACTGATTGTGACTAAAGTGGCATGCATCCCTGCATTGGATGACGGGGCTGAGAGAAAGAGCCAGCCTTTAACTGGGCTTCAATCATTAAGGCCTGAATTAGCATCAGTCAATGAATGAGCGCCACTTGCTCCAAAGAGAAAGGCCTTTGATGTCTTATGGGTTTGGGGGGGGGCAATGGGGCCAGCCACTGGGTACAATTAATGTCCCTTCCATTCCTCTCGCCCCACCTTGCTACCTTTTTCTCCAGTGCAAGTGAAGGATTCTCTGAAGCACACTCAGCAATGAATGGAGGCTTTCTGGTGCTCGGCTAACTGGGTGAAATGCGGTTGTGTGAATGTGTGATTGTTGAATCAAAAGCTGGTGCATACCAGCTTTTGAGTGTCTGCTGGCTAGAGTGTGTGAAAAAAAAATCTGTCAGAGAGGGAGATAAAATGTAAGTGTGTGTGTGTGTGTGTGTGTGTGTGTGTGTGTGTGTGTGTGTGTGTGTGTGTGTGTGTGTGTGTGTGTGTGTGTGCGCGCAAAAGGCCTGCAAGGGAAAAGTCCCAGCAGTCTGTGGGACTAGGAGATGGTTGCGCACCAGTAGAAAGGTAAGTTCTTTTAGGGACCCACAGCGGGGAAAATAAGTATTGAAAACATCAATGTTTTTCATAGTGAACATATCTGTGACTGGGCTGTTGAAGTGAAATTCACACCAGATGTTTGGTAGCAACTCAAGTAACCCACACATACAAAGAGATCAACACTAATTCATCCACTAAGTATCGAGACAAAGAGCTCCACAAAAGGCTTTAGAACAGGGGTGCCCAAAGTTGGTCCTTGAGGGCCGGCATCCTCCACATTTTAGTTCTCTCCCTGGAGGAACCAACAACCTTTTCAGCATGTCAATGTTCTTCTTAGGCCTTCTGATGAGCCATCATTTGATCCAGGTGCATTGAACCAGGGAGAGAACTAAAACCTGCAGGATGTCGGCCCTCAGGGACCCACTTTGGGAACCCAGCTTTAGAAAGACCACAAGTTTGAAGATGAGAACATTGTGGTGTGGCAGGCTTAATATAACTGAAGCAAGGATGAATTCAGAAATTTATGACATTCTTGATAAGAATGCAAAGATTAAAATAATGTAGACCTTTTAATGAAAAATGACCTTAACCACACAGGCAGCGATGGAAAGTAAAGCTGGTAAAAGGACTCAGTCAGTCACTGACTTCAATTGGAAAGAACCAAATCTCAAAGATCACAGTGACTCTGAAATGGTCACTGAAATGAATGGATCAAAATCCCACTGGACCAATGCATCAAACTAGTTTCTCCACAGAAGAGATCCATTAACGTATCCATCCACAGACTGTCGTTTGCTTAATCTGGGTCAGATTGTAGAGGCAGAGAGAACCAGATTTCCATCTCCAGCTCCTTTAAGGGAAGCCCAAGGAGTTCCTAGACCAGAAGAGAAACATAGACCTTCTAACATGTCCTTGGTCTCCTCATGATGGGACGTGGGCCTTGAACACCTCACCAGGGAGGCATCCAGCAGGCGACATAATCAGATGCCTGAATCACCTCAACTGACTAATTGATGTTGATGAAGAGTGGCTCCATTCTTAGTCTCCTGGTTGACCAAACCTCACATTGTGTCCTTAAGAGGGTGCCCAGACATCTTGTGGAGGAAACTCATTTCAACCACTTCTATCTGCAATCTTGTTCTTTTGGTCACTGTCCAGAGTTCGTGACCACAGATGAGAGTAGGAATGTATCTCAGCTGGTAATTCACACCAGACAGGTACAGCACTCAAATACTGCAACAATCTGTATGTTGACCTCCCACTCCATTTTCCTCTCAATTGTGAACACGATCCTGAGGCCTCTATTTGGGGTGGGGCCTTATCCCTAACACCCTCAAAATCATGGTCTTGGGGTTGGAAGTGGTAATTCTCATCCCAATCCTTTCACACACGACTGTGAACTGGTCCAGTGAAAGCTGTAGATCATAATCTAATGACCCAATGTCCCCCTCAACCCTTTGGTTGCCCCTAACAATTCTGTTCATCAAGGTTATGAACAGAATTGGTGACAAAGGGTAACTTTGGCAGAGTCCAACTCTCATCAAAAACATGTCTGACCAACTGCCAGCAATGAAGTCCAAGTACCACTGAGAAGCTTTTTAACTACATCTGTGACTTCAGCACCAGAGATCGGAGAGACTGAGCCAAAGTCTCTGCTTTCTCAGTGGAAGTGGGAGTGAGGTGGTCGTCACAGTTTTCTTCCCACACTCTCACGACATTCCAAGTCGAGGTTTGCAGCACACCATTCCCACAAAGGGTTTGATGGTGCCCTACTTTCCTCTCCTGAGATGCCGGATGCTCGACCAAGTTGTTCTCCATCACCTCACCAAGCTCCTCCCAAACCCACATTTTGGCCTTGGCAACCACCTGATCTGCAATCCTCCAGCAGCTGCTTCCAGAGTCTCACAGGCCGAAAAGGTCTGGCAGGACTCCTCTGTCAGCTGACAGCATCCCTTATTGCAGGTATCTGCCATAGAATAGATGATTTTGAATAAATATCAGAGAGAGTGTCTAGTATTCATCCCCTCTTTATTCTACTTTATATAATTAAATTTACTAGATTCATTTGTGTGGATCTATTAACCCCTTAACACATACTGGCTACACATTAGTGGCTTAAGGTTTAGTTGACCAGTCAGAAATATTCAAGAAAGAATACAGGCATGTCAAAGCGCGCTCAAATTGCTCTCTGGATATTATTGGCTCGGAAAAAGCCATTTCATAACATTATTGGTCAAATGTAGTGTCAATCGAAAGGGGTGGAGGGTTATATGCTGCCCAATAAAAGCATCATTATGGACACCAGCAGAGTTTAAACCTATAAATCTCACCCCTGGAAAATACAATGGAAAAACATGGGCGTTCCAGAGTGGGTTAAGGGGTTAAATGCATGGAGTACCTGAGTTTAGAAATGATGTGAATTTTACGTCAATAGCCCCCAAAAAAACCCAGAAAACAACTGTAGCTGTGTTTAATACTTATTTTCCCTGCTGAATGCAGGATGAGTTGGAACAAAGAGTTAAACCACTCTACTACTACAGGTAGTGAGGAAAATGGTAAAACCAATGCATTAAACAAAACACCAACAATAAAACTCTACTTTAAATATGCATTTAAAAAGGCAAATTGTAAAAAAAGGGAGAAAGAAACAAGGGAATCAACACAAATGCAGTGCAGGGACTCCAGTGCAGCAGGTTAACAAGGCAAGCAACAAATGGATGGATTAGTAAAAGAGGGAACCAAATGAATGGTGTCACAAATGGCAGTGGACACATGCAGTAGGAATGGTAAATTATAACATGGGTGGACAGTGCAAGCCCCTGCCTCTCTGTTCAGCTATACATTGCCAGCGGAAGGGAAGGAGGCATGGACGCCATCTTTGAGTTGGCAGTTGCTTATCAGTTGGTTGCTACAGTTCTTGCACGGGATTTGCGTGGAGATGGCAAATGATGGGGTCAATGGGATGTAAGGTAAGGCTTGCTAAATCTAAGATCAGGCTGCAATTGAGATGTCTGTTTGGCCACAGATTCTAAGATTAGTCCCCTGACCCCTCAACCCAGGTTTATGTCCTGAGAAGTAGTCCTTCTACCCCTGAATTGGTTGTCACATGAATGTTCAGACAAGACAGGCAATCAGGTACTATCACCAGGAAGCAGGAAGCAAAAGAGGGAGCAGAGGGACAGAATCTGTGTAGAGAGTGTAATACAGGGTTGGGGGTTTAGGTGGGTCCAAAGAACCAAAGGGTCCCTGGGACTACCAAGAGGCTCTTCTTTCATTAAAATATGAAGAAAGAGACAGGGAGAGAGACACGGTGAGGAACGACAGACATCAAACACTGGGAGTCAGAGCAAGGTTTCCTGCGCCCTTCTTCCGTAATGCAGACTTCCGTTGATGTGATGCTCCACTTCCTCAACGAGCTGAAAAGAAAAAGGGTTAGCAACAGTCATATCCCACTGCCTCCCAGCCAGAGGCTGCAGAGGTGAGGGCCTGAGACAAACTGTGAGAGACAGAAGACATAAAGACAAAGGGATGTCCTTGTGTATTCCTGTGTATGGCTAAACTTCATTTGTATTACAAAAATTTTGAATTCTTATAATGCAAAACGGATTTGATATTTTCAGTCATTTGTACAACAGAGTACCGCAGATGTTTTCTTTTGTTCAGCATTAGCTTAACAAACATTGCTTTAATGAGTCAACTTACAGACATACTAACAAACTAACTAATTTATTTAAATTTTATGTGTTGTCCAGGATAAAGTAGTGCATAATTGTTCAAATCTGACATTTGTATTGAAGAACGTCCCTCACTATGGTTACAGTCTTTCTGGATATGTTTCTATCAGCTTTGGGAGTGGGAAATTCTTGTCCATTCTTTGCAAAATATCAGACGCTGAGGCCAATTTCATGGCAAACATCGGTGCAACGTCAAGTTTTGCCACAATAACTAACAGACTTAAGTCTGGTCTGTGAATGGCCAATTCTGATACGTACATTTTGTTGTAAAACCTTGTTTCTGCTCTCCATTGTTAGCTGTGTTTCCATCAATTTTTATGGGTATTTTTGAACTATCACATTTGAAAACATTGATGCCAAATTCAAAATGGCTTCCCCAGTTTCGCTAAGAAGTTTGACAGATATGGGCTTTTCTGAGAAATGGTTAATACAATAAAGGGATGCGGAAACACATTTGCCAAATAAGTTCTGAAGCAAACATTTACTTCAGGTGACTGATCAGCTGTTTCTGCTGTTGGAACAGGATGTGACATTGCCAGTACCAGCTGCCCTGACACATCGTCCCTCTCTTAAGCCATCGCTATGGTTATACGCCTTGGGAACTCCATACAATTTCAAAAATTGTTCATGACTTGAACAGGTAGAAACTTGATTTGACTTCTAGCCCACAGGAGTGTGGAAGATGGGGTAATGCATGACTGCAGAATTCCATCTGACAATTCTGTCTGTCCATAAATAAGAGTAAATTGCGGTTGAAAAAAAAATGTCAAAAATGTATTGTCTAGCATAAAAATGCAAGTAAAAAAATCACAACAGTTCCCACACTCTAATTATTGAATGAAAACAAACCCAAAATGGAAATGCTGTGTGAGAAAAAATTAAACAACCAACCACCACTGCGATGAGAGAGGAGCCGATCAGAGCCAGGCGGCTGACGATGTCAATTTAATATTTGCAAGTGTGATCAACATGGACTGAGCGGTTCCGTTCACTTCCTCCGCTGCCATCGTTAAAACTACAGGATGATTACAATTCTAAAACAGAGCAGAAAGCTAACACAGTCGTTCACTGTTTCTCCTCTTCACTGATTGGCCTGATCGTCAAGGGTCCTTTACTGCAATAGATTTTCTAACATCAGTAACTTTTACCCTAAAACAAGAGGAGTTTTGGCAGTTTGGTGGTCTGGACCATACAGCAATATTTTAACATGATGCCAGAAAGAAAAGAAAATAAGAGAAGCAATCATTACTGCTCAACATTCTGGGAACGGGGGGAGGAAAGCAATTTCTTGGTAATTTCTTGTCTACAGCTTTACAGGAATAAATTTTATTCACAAGTGGGAAACTTTTAAGGAAGCTGACACAATCCTTCCAGGATTCACTCTCAGGTCAGACTTAGAGAAAGAGCAAACAATACCAAGAGTGTGACATCAGTCTTTACAGTTGTCTGTTAGCATTTTAAATGTTCAACATGATGTTGGTACAATAAAAACAAGACGAATTTAGTATTGCTTGTTTGGAATAATTGCAAAGCTCTTCATTTGAAAAAACATATTGACAGCATAACTTAAGTTTGTTTAATTTAATGTCGGTTCTGTGGTTTTGTACACCCAATGTTTGAAAAAAATATTGCACAGAGCAAATCATTTCTATCACTGAAGAGAGAGAACTTTCTAGTGTGACAAGCAAAGCAGCGATTTAATTCTGTTCCTTGAGGTTACAAATTATAAAATTATGAAATAAATGGTGGTGCCATTAATCCTCCATATTTTTAAAGCATTTGATGACACGCACATGACAACTTGTTACTGGCACTGCAGACCCCTTCAGGCTTCACAAGCCTGTATCAGCAGGGAGGAGGTGAAGAAAGAGGTAAGGAAGAACATCCTCACTTACCTGGAACATTTCATTTATCTTCAATCAGTTATAAAGGCAAAATGAAAAAGTTTATTCTGGAACAAATATAACAAATATATTCAAATATCGAAACTATCCCTTTGGAAGACAAATTGTTGTCTTCTATTGTCTCCTCAGCGCTACGCCAGAATTATTGGCAGCGCTAAGACCCGCCTCCTGGCTCTGATTGGTTGTTTGGTGCATTTCTACACATAGCACTAGGACCGCAAGGAGGAGACAGAGGAGCTAGATTTTTTTCACAGATTGTCTGTCTCATATTACTCTGTCAGGATGTAGTGACAGTTTTAGCAAATGTGTAAAAAAAAATTTCTAAAAGTTCGCCAGTGCAGTTTTAAGACAACTCCACCTGTGAGGTCAGTTTCACTGAGGAAATGTGTGCGCAGCAATCTAGCTATCCAACCGGCTCAGGAGTATCCAAGCTAGCGGTTAGCTAAAAACAAACTCAAAGTTGATTAAAGTTCCAGCTAAAAGCTTAAGAATGACAACCGCAGTGAAAATCATCCCAACTTTTAAAGAGCAATCTGTTTGGATGAAAAGTCATACTGAAAAACATTCATGAAATCAGCTTGAAAAACCAAAGCAGCTCAGGTTTCAGGGTGAGATTTAAAACTAGCATTAGTCAGGAACTGGAGCTTAACAAGCAGCAGCACTGTGCAGTACTATGTTCCTTCTGTGCTGCTTTTACTGTGTTGATTGGCAACATTGACTTGACAAATGTTCAAAATGTTATACTGATTCTCTTTGTTTTCACTGTGGAAATTGAGTTTGAAATTGAAATGCTACGATACCAGGCCGACGTGAGAACTGTCATAAACTTGGAAGCTGATCTGCTCATTTAACGTCATGAGTTCACATAATGTGGGAGGCCATGATGGCTGTCACTCACCGATGCAGGTCTTGCTGTCTGAATGCAGGGCGTACTTTTGGTGGCAGCCACAGACCGGCCCTGTGTCCGTGTCTTCACATGTGTGCTGGCATCCTCCGTTTCCATAGTTACAAGTCACTAAAGCAAGGACAAATTTCAATGTTACATTTTGATCTGTGCCCGTGAGAAATGACATAGTGTTTCATTTTTGATTTCTTGTGAAAATCAACACCACTGATCACACCTGTGTAGCGTTTTACTGATCCATTATCAAACAAAAAACTCTAACTTTGACCAAACAGAGAGATACAAGGTTTCTGTCTGAATGAGAGACTTTTGTAAGAAATAAATAAATAAAAATAAAGAAAACACACACACACACACACACACACGCACACACACACACACACACACACACACATATATATATTGTTCTTTATATTTATGGGAAACAACAGTGAGATGTTAAAAAAAAAAGTCAAGCAAGAACCAAATGGTTCAGTGATTTTTCTGTTCTTTTGCATCAACATTTAAATACAAACATTAAAGTGGAGTCGGCCAAGAGCAGCTGGAGGACATCAGAGGGTGATTAAGTGAATTGTGCATTTCTTGGTTGGTTAAGCTCCTCATGCATCTCTCTCTCATCACTGTTTCTGTCCATACTTACAGACATTCTAAGTGTGCAGCAACAGCTGAACTGAGAGAAAGTCTCAACATATTATGTCACCCAGTTAGATTTAGGTAATATTTATGCCAGTGGTGGGAGTCCATTAACATTTTTTAATGGAGTTAATCTCAGGGTCTGTAGTTATTTAATCACAATTATTTAATTAATTAATGAAAATAAATGAGTTTTCATTCAAAACCCATTTATTGACCAAATAAGAAACATGTTCATTTCAAAAGGCCTTTTAGCAGCTAAGTTATTGAATGAACAGAATCCTGAGCTCAATAACAAAATAACAGTTTTTAAGTCTGTTATTCGGGTTCTTCAGTCATCTTTCCAGAGTTTCAGGAACTCCTGATCATTCATGGAACTTCTTCATAAATATGGAGTGTAGCCGCTGACATCACATTGGGAACGTCTGTGCTGCTGCTACATGGTAGCATTAAGATGCTACTTTAGGCTGGAACAGCTTCACTAATGGGCCAAGCCAGAAATGTCTTTGTCATCCAAGCTGTGGGCATGCCGTTCTACAGCAGCAAACCGGAATCAGGTTGTAGCTGATAGAAAGATAAACTGCAACTCAAAGATAAAGTTGAGCTGAGAGAACACAGAAGGAGATGTTGATTGTTTGGAAGCACAAAATGAGTGTGTTCACAGCAGCCCTGTTTAGTCCGCTTTAATCAAAGTCCAGTTCATTTGTCAAGAAAGTCCGAAAGTCAGCATCAAACTCTGATGCGTGAATGTGAACGTTAAACGGACTGGAGACCGCTCCAAAAGCAGGAAGCGAACTACAGCATTCTGGGTAAAGACAACCAAAACAAACACGTGAGTCTAGCACTAGTGGGAGAAATGGCTTGTAATCTTATCCCAAAGTCTCAAGAGAAATCTAACAACCATTAAAATTTGACACCACTTCAGTTCTGTTAAGAAGGAAGTGAAAAAGGAAGTTGCTCAGCGTCTTCAGACATTTTCATGACTGCCGCAGCACCCCCACAGGCGAGTGAGGGAACAGGTTGCTCAAAAGTACTGGATCATTTGACACAGTGAAGTGCGAAAGAGAACCGCAGCAGCTGAACATGTGACAAATGCTGCAATTTTGGTCCCCCGACCAAACCCAGGCTACCAGGTGGGAAAACACCCTCGGTGTCTTTTTTAACTTGTTTACTGCTGTTATGTTCCGTCATGCTCACCAGACCGACACTGCGCTGCAACTTTTACTGGTAGTGAAATATTACCACAGCGGAGAACACATTATGGCTTTACAGAGACTTCTGCAGTGCTCACACTCTGTCTGTGAGAGGAGAAAGAGATATGATGCCAAATAAAGTGCAATTAAAAGCTTACTTTCCCCCCGTCAAAAACAGCGGCCCAGCATTCCATGGCTGCACACACTGAATGAGAAGTGAGAAAAAGCAACTGAGCTGTAAAGAGTTATGAATTCCCACTACTGAATCCTTCAGCACCTTCAGTTTGGGTTGATATGCTCAAATGGTTTTGGAATTAAATGTCCACCCTCATATTTTACCTCTGAAGCCCTACTGGAAGCTGTTAATCGTGCCTGTTACTGATGTTTATCACCAGAACGGCTCAGTCTTTTCTACCACTACGTAAAGGCAAGAAAAACAGGCTAATAAAGAAGGCGGTTAGATTTACTGCTCTGTGGAACTGGAAACAAAATGGAGAGTCAACTGATTGTAAATCTATGCACTTTGCTCGATGTTTGGTTTTCCTTTCTAAATATAATTAATTATGTACATGTCAAAAATTAGAAAAGAAAAAAAAACTGCTCTCATTAGCCATGTTGCTAGGTGCGTGATGCTAGCTCCCTGCTGGCTCCTTTTTGCCCCTCAGATCTACTGTAACGCTTTCTAGCATAAATTTAACAGAAACATTTCTTAGAAATGTTCATCTTTACATCACTCAGCTGTTGCAGATTTCACCGCTGCACAGCCATGATGCAAATCAGTGATCTGACCACATCAGAGTGGAACCCTGCTGGACTGAGATCTGGTCACTGCAGAGACCACTGGAGTACGGTGAACTCATTGTTGTGTCCAAGAAACAATTTTGAGATGATTTGAGATTTTCTTTATGCCATGTTGAGTCCTGCTGGAAGTAGCCTTAAGAAGTTATGAAGTCATGCAATCATCTGCGTGATGTGTGATGACACAATGAGAATTTTCTGCACAGCATGTTTGGGTTGAATATTAAACAAAATGAATTACAACTGAATATTGAATATCATTTTGATTTTAAAGCACATTTAAAATTTTACTACACAAACAAGTGACTATGTCAGCTATAAAAATGCTGTATCAAACATGACTTAAAAGAAATTTCACTTTGTAATTTATAGTCTTGATTTTGGGCCTGTGTATCTTTAAAAACTTCCACTCTATAAAATTCATTGCTCTGCAATTAACTCATTAACAACATTTTTACCAGCTTTTAACTGAGAAGTAGCTCCTACAATGAGCTGATGCACAATTCCACCAAGTGTTTGTTAATTGCTGCTACTAGTCTGAAGGAGCTGAGTATTGTAGTTATGGGGGAGGGAAGTTCAGTGAGACAAGCTCAGAACCGTACAAGCTGCAGCTCTGAGGAGGAGCTGATTCTCAAAGGCAGAGTTAGCTCCACCTAGGCATTTTGCACAGCTGAATGGTTGCCATGGAGATGAAAGGATTTCTCTAACATGCATGAAAAGAATAAAGGCAACACTCCACATTTGATAAGGCAGTAACCTTATAACATGATGTAAAGCTCAAAAAAGTCCAATTTAAATAACACTGCCCCTTTAAAAGTTGACAGGTAAAACCTGATTATGACTGGATGCATCACTAGTCCTGACACTTTTATATCTTCCTTGGTCAACCTGGATGTTTATCTCCTACAAATGAGTTTTGCCTAGAATTATAAAAAGCTATAGAGGTAACTAATTAACTATCCAACATCCAGTCTTATTGAAGGTCATCTTAATTGATTGCTTTCTGCTAAGTCATCATGTGAAACATCTCATTCTGTCTTTTTTACCTGCAGACTCATCTGGATGTGAGAATTAAATGATTAAATATTATTAGAAATGCAAGTAACAGAGTTATTGTATCTTTGTCTTCTTCACATTTGACAAAGTGTGACAATAATTCCCAGAGAATCGAATGACATTTTTTATGCATGTTGTACAAGCGGGTAATGTTGTGCTTGTACATTTTTGTTTCTTGTTTGTTTTTTATTCCCAAAAGTAATAATTAATTTTTTTTTCCGTCACAGCATGAGGACCAGATGTGATACATACATGTGCAGTCTTTCTGGTTTTTGGCCAACTCAAAACCAGGCCGGCACTCGCATGACACCCCACTTTTGAAGGGAGCTTCCCTGCAGATGTGAGCACAGCCATGGTCTTTGTTCATGCAGTTCATTCCATCTGTTCAAAGAAAGAGGACAACGAGACACGAGGTTTAATCAGAGGCATTTCTGAGTCGCATCGAAAACCAAAGCGAAGAAAAAAGTCACAGTGGAGTTGCATTACCGGTCAGATTCAATCACATCAATGCTAGTTAACAATAGATAATCTATAATGATTATCTTCTCTAAGTGGACAACATGATATTCAATGTTGAAGTTAATGATGTTCATTTCTACTTATGGTTCTTGCACCAAAGAACTGCTGTGCAGATCAGATGCTACAGCAAAGGTCACATGTTGCCCAACATGTTTATATGTGACAGTATCAAAACAGAGAATATTTTCTTTAAAGATCTTTAATCTTTAATCTTTATTAAGGACAGTGCATATTAATGAACAATCAACACTATTGTATAGACTGTAAATGAGCCAGATTATAGCATAATTGCTCATTTCCATCTGTAGTCCTAGACAAGGAGACCCAAACAACAAAAAGACATAAACATACAATCAAGAATCAACAAACATTTAACAAACATTCACAAAAAACACAGTAAAAAGTTAGTTAAAATGATAACATAATACATTATTGAAGACCAGGAGCAGGCCCATAAAGGTCATATACTGGAGAGTTTCATTTCAGGTGAATAATGTTTAGAACTAATGTTTCCCTCAGATTTAGTTCTATGCAGTGAAGTTCTAAATCGATTGGAGCAGGAGAATCATACAATTTTTCAAAGTCAATGTACAAAAAAAGGGAAAAGCACAAAAATACCACTCAGAATTTTAGACAACTAATTATGTTTTCAGTAATACCCCATTTTAAAGAGATACCTCCTGATCAGTTGCGATGGTTACAGCAATTATAAGAATGTAGCCAAGTCATTGTGTCCTGCACATCTATGCACAGATCCCTTTGTCTGACTCAGTTCTCAGTCAAATCAAATCAGGAGGGAACAAGATGAGCTACTAGATACTGTAGAGAATATTTAATCAAACAGTCTGATTTCATTAGTTTTATTGTGGCCAGACTGGCTTATCTTTCCAAACCTTTCCTGTAAACCCAGGTACGGTTCTTAACTCCAAATTATGCTTAAGTCTTTTGTGCTTAAAACTAATTGAGAAATAGACATTAATACAACTTTTGATAAACATTCAAAACATGCACAACGAGGGTTGTCTACCCACAGTCTAAACACACACTGTCCTCAGTTTCCATGGTGAGTTAAGCCTCTTTATCTGACCCAAAATGGTTTCAAGGACTTCAGCATAGCACCATTTTCCCTCACAAGTCCTCTTTCACAAGCGAAAAGTGTTTTCTTAGTAACTGTTAATGAAGCCGTCCACTTCTACTGGACTATTACATCAAAATTCAAGACAAAAGAGGCTTCATATACTTTAAAGGAAAATCCTTTCACTTAGTTTTAATTCAAAAAAGGCAAAGATGCAAAACAATAAAAGCAGTTGATGGAAACAGGTTCGAAGAGCCGCCAAGACAAGCACCAGCCATGTTTTAAAAGTAAACTCATAAGTAAGCATTGTTTCTACAATCTATTAAGACCTGGGAGAAGTCAAATAAACCGAGGCAGAAGGAGAAGTGGGACATAGACCGGTCACTCAGCACAGTTAAGTCTAAAACAGCAAACAGAGTATGGGTGCACATCGATGAGGTGAGGCCGAGACCCAGGAAGGGAGAGTCCAGGTCCCACTGACATACAGTTTGAAACCAGGTGATGCAACATCAAAACACAAATTAGGAAGAAGAACGAGAACGATGATGAGAATTAATAAAGACAACAACCAAATGACTGAATTTTTTCAAAAAAGGTTATCACCTCAACACATACAAAAAAAATCTGATGACTATTCTTTTATCCACTCAGCAGTGAGCAGAAGGTGATTCAAATAGAGGTCTTAAAATTATTCATAAATGGGAAAATGTGAACTTAGCATGTTTTCACACCAGATAGTCAGACTAGTTTCAGTTAGGGACCAAAATATGTTTTTTTTTTCTTCATATTTTCAGCTGCTATGGTTCTCTTTCGTACTGCACTGTGCCAAACAACCCAAGGCCTTTGAGCATCCTGTTCCCCTCCTCACCTGTGGAGGCGCTGTACCAATACCACAGAAGGAAATGAAGAAAAAACCTCTGAAGACGAGACTGACCACAACTTCCTTCTTGGAGTGGTGTCAGATTTTAGTGGTTGTAGGATTTGTCTTTCGTCCTCTCATTTCTCCTGCTAACTCAAGACAGAGTGTTTGTTTTGGTTCCCTTTACCCAGAATGCTGTGCGCTGTAGTGTGCTTGCTGCTTGCAGAGCAGTCTCCTGTTTGACTGGTGTTCAAACATGCATTCGAACGGCATCAGTGTTCACTTCCAACGAACTGACATCAAAGTTTGAAGGAAAACCAGAATGAGTTTTTTTTTCGGTCTGCATCAGAGTTTGATTAGGTGTTCACACCGCCCCAAACGAACCGGACTTTCTGGTCAGACGGACTGTAGTTGGATTAAAGCAGGCTAAATGAGGCTTGTGTGAATGCATCCTGTCATTTAAAACATGAAAATCTTAATGTTTAGTTCTTTTCAAAACCATGTCATCATCATTGTCACAACTTCTGGGAAGCCTTCCAGGAGGAGATGAATCTAGCGCAGTAGCAAATGACAAACTGACAGCCTGACTTAAGTTTATATGTGCATGAAGGCAGGAAAGCAAATACTCATGGCAATACAGGGTGAGGCTATATGATTTTTGTCGGCAGTTAGCAGGGAAATTGTAAGGAAAGGCTTCTTCCCTCCAGCGCCAGCGAGCAGTTTTGTTTAAACTGGGAGGTCAGCAAGTTTATAACGACTGAAGTTCCTCACCGTGAGCCCCGACAGGTCCAGATAAAACAGAGACTTCATGGCCCAATAAGAGCCCACAGGACAGAATTTGTCTCTCACCCAGTCTCTCCACAGACTCTTTTACAATCCTCTGTCTTTCTCTTTCAATACTTCTGCCTCTCATTATCTAACTCAACTTGCATCCCTCTCACTCTCTCAGGAGCAAAGACTGGAGATGAAATCCAAGCATATCACAGCCGTGTTATTACAACCTGACTCTTGGAGTGTTCCACCCCAAAGCCCAGTAATTCTGGCTGGCAGCATGCAGTGGGAGACAGAAAGAGCGGGTGGGGGTTTGGAGGGTTGGGGGGGAAAAGAGAAATGAGGTGAAAGACAAAGACGGAGAAGGACAGGAATGTAGAAGAGGAGGACTGACAGAAATGGAGAGAGATGGAGATGGAGCAGAATAATTTAGAGCCTCCTCCCGGTTCCTCTGCGGCTGGTGAGGAATGATTCGAAGCGGAACGCCAGTCTCGCGGCCCGATCGCCTCACCGGGGACCAGGAGAGATTTCACAGCTTCGCTTAACCGTAGAGCAGATGTAATGAGAACTTTTGAAGTAAATGAGAACCTCACAAGTGGAACACCTGCAAAAATATCACATACTGACTCAAGGCCACAAGATTGTAAAAACGGAAATCAGAAAAAGACAATATTGACTCATCGGCCCTGAAAAACAAACAAAAAACTTTTGAATGTTTTCTTAGAAATTTGTTAATTTCACACATGACATAATATCCACAGTAGCTTTCTCTGATTAAACTGGTATAGCTTCATCTGGAATATTCAGGATCTTGTGAAACTCTTCCTACTCCTTCAGCTCGTCATCAGCCATGATGACGAGATGGACTGACCTGAGCACAAGAGGAGACATCTGTCAGAGGCTGCAAAAGACTCGAGGCAAAAAGGAGTAGTTCGGATCGAAGTGTAAGAACGGCCCAGTCAAAGTCCACACCTAAATCTAACTGGGAGTCAATGGGACGTTTTGCTGTGAAAAGCTACAACACATCAAATCCCAACAAAAGGCATTGAAGCCTTTTGTTGCCTGACCAGGTTTGTGGAAGTTGGAATACCTTTGTGAGGTCATATAATCAGGCTCAATTTTACAACGGCATGTATATTAGCTTTGTCTGCTCTTGTCTACATTATAGATTTCCAAATGAAAGTCTAGATCAGCCCAATGGGTTTTTGGAAACTGCTTTTGTAGACTTATGAGGTTAAAAAGAAGGTTTTGGCCGGTGGCATGCAAAAATGTCTTGAAAAACAGCCGTGTGCCTCGCCAACTGTTAAGCTCAGGGTTGGATTGCTTCTATTTTGTGCTTCTGTTGGGCAGCCAAGAAAAACCTCTGTTAAATACTGTTGACATTTGGAAGAAAACATTTCGTTTCATGTAAAAACCTCTTACTGGATCATGATAATGATCCAAAACACATTTCAAAATCAGTATTGGGACATGTCAAGAAGCATAAGCTGAAGACTTTACTGTGATAACATGATATCCCAACTTAGACAAGCTACAAAAAACAGAGAGAATGTCTCAAAAGAGCATTGGACATAATAAGACCCACTTATGAATATAAAAATAAGAACCAGTCTGCAAGGAAAAACAAGCATCCCCATAAAAAGAACTAATTTATAGCATTAGATAAAGGATTTTCACCTCATGCCTTTTTCTTTCCAAATCCAACTTATGTCAACAGGATTTGTGTTATGTAAAGCTATAAGAGGAAAACAAGACTTGCAGGTGGATCTCCCAAAATGGTTCCTTCATAAATCAGCAAAGACAAGCGTTTACATATCACCAACCAACCCACTGTTATCTGATGTGAGCTGACAAAAATCACGCTGGCATCCGTCAACCGAAGGAGGCATGGAGTGGAGCGGTATAGAGCCGTACACAAAATATGTTCTGAACATAAATAATTGGTGAAAATTCATCTATTTACTGATTCTTTTTGTGTCCCAGAGCACATCTAACATATCCCAAAGAAAATCCAACTTGGGATGCTTAAATACCAAAGCACTGCGCTATTTAGCATGCTATTGGCTGACACTTGCAAAGCAGCCAATTTAGGAGCATTGTCAGTTTTTCTTCCTGCTGATTGGCTGTACACCCAAGGGTGATCATGAGGAAGACCAC